TGTGTGTGTGTCTCTTACTGTATATAAATGTATTATATCTAAGTATATCTTATCTATATATGAAATATACTATATGTCATGATTCTGTTCCGTCGGTTTCCATTTCCATGCTTTTATTTTGACTTTACTTACTGTTTCAGTTGATACATTAAACAATTAATAACGGCCTACTTGTTTTTAAGATCCCACAAGTTACATTCATTGCTCAGCACAGCTGTCACTTTTAAGCGACCAAAGATCACAAAAATGCATCAGGTACGACACCATTATGAAAATGTTGGGGACATATCCTTGGGGTCAGCAAAAGTGGGACATTCAATGTGTGTTCAATAGACCAATGCAGTTTTCCCCTAAAATCTACTTGACTGACGGCAGCTATTTTTAACTGTGTGATATCATCACTGTGAGTGTGATTGTAAGTTGGCCAGCCAATGCAAACATTGTATTTTAATAAAATCACAATATATTTGATCACATTATAAATCAAAATAAATATAAACTGTAGCTCAGTGTCCTACTTTATTGGGCTCCCTCTATTTCAATACTTTCTACTGTTAAAAGCAGCTAATGTACCCTACGTCTACGTGTAAGGGAGAATATGTCATCACCAATCATCACCATTGTCATCAAATAAGTTGCCAAATGAGGTATTTCTTTACACTGTTTTCAGTTAATTATCTAATTTATCCAACGCTGGACTATAATGTAAAACAAAGGGTGGGTAAAAATTATGTTATCTAAAAGTGAATAATAAAACTAATTGATGTGGCATTTATTTGTTTATACAAAAAACAAATAAACAAAAAGCTAAACAATTTGACATATACAGTAAATGGAATATCGGGATCAACAATCACAGTATGTCTCTCTGTCAGATCCTGCTCTGGTCCTGAATATCTTTGTCACTATTCCTCAAATTCATCTTTTTTCTTTATTTCTTGAATTACATCTTCACTTTATCTATGTTTTTGTCTCCATTAAGCATCCGGTATCCCTCAGTGGACTCTCTCCGCATGCCTTAATTTACTCTTTGGAAATGTAGCCTACTCTTGCAGCCCAGTTTACACTAGGGTAATTGCGGATTAACAAATAAATAGGGTGTTAATACAGATTAAGAGCTGCGGAGTTACTTTCAAGACAGCTATAAAACAACAAAGCTCAAAAAAGCTTTTACTACGTCAGAAGCGGTCTCACCTGTTGATATCCCCGCCCACTCTAGCAGCTACCCAATCAGCAGTGAGGACGCTGTAATCAGGTTCCTTCTGTACTCCAAGTGAGCGTTAGTAAGAGCAAACAGGACCTGGAGATATATTAATGTGTAGATAAAAAACACAGTGACAGTCAGCTCTGTATAGAACAGGTTTATTGTAAGATGGAGAAGCGAATACGGCGACAGAGGTGTCAGCTGCCATCCTGTTACTATGAGGGGTACCTGCAGAAGAGGTCAATCAAAGATAAGGTAGGGTAGCTCACGAGGGGAGAGACTGTTTAGTGTTCTCTGTGCAACCTGCAGACTGTAGTGGGGTCAACACAGATTGACTAACAGGAGAAATGGACCGCAAATGGCTGCTCTTTTTTAAGTGTTGTATCTTTTGGGGGCTGCTGTGGCTCAGGAGGTAGAGCGGGTCGATTTCAGGCTTGTCCAGTGAACATGTAGTGTCCTTGAGCAAGACACTGAACCAGTTGCTCCCAGTGATGTCACCGGTGTGTGAATAGGTGAATGGCTGAATAGTGTGAAAGCGCTTTGAGTGCGCTGTAAGGCGTAGAAAGGCGCTTTATAAGACCAAGACCATTTTGGTTAACAGTGAATTTGTCTTGGCCTCGAGAATCAGCACCTCCAAATCCGAGGCCATGGTTCTCAGTCGGAAAAGGGTGGCTTGTTCTCTTCAGGTTGGTGGAGAGATCCTGCCTCAAGTGGAGGAGTTCAAGTATCTTGGGGTCTTGTTCACGAGTGAGGGAAGGATGGAACGGGAGATTGACAGGCGGATCGGTGCAGCTCCTGCAGTAAAGCGGGTGATGTATGGGTCCGTCGTGGTGAAGAAGGAGCTGAGCTGTAAGGCGAAGCTCTCGATTTACTGGTTGATCTACGTTCCGACCCTCACCTATGGTCTTTAACTTTGGGTCATGACCGAAAGGGCAAGATCCAGAACCGCTGCTCCTCCACATCGAGAAGAGCCAGCTGAGGTGGCTCGGGCATCTGTTTCGGATGCCTCCTGGGCGCCTTCCTAGGGAGGTGTTCCGGGCATGTCCCACTGGGAGGAGGCCCCGGGGAAGACCCAGGACACGCTGGAGGGACTATGTCTCTCGGCTGGCCTGGGAACACCTCTGCATTCCCCCGGAGGAGCTGGAGGAAGTGTCTGGAGAGAGGGAAGTCTGGGCATCTTTGCTTAGACTGCTGCCCCCGCGACCCGGTCCCGGATAAGCGGTGGAAAATGGATGGATGGAAATATAGAAAATGTTAAAGCTAAATAAAGCCACTTTGTCAAAAAATGTCAAAGATGGTATGATAAGACTGAAAAATAAGATTAGGATGGTATGTTTTAATGGTTTAATTTAATTGATCTAAAACCTGACAACTGTTCATTGTTAATCTGTCTGTAATGTTCTCATTTTATTAATTAGGCTAATCATTGATGTAAAATACCAGAAAATACTGAAAGTAACCATCACATATTCCCGAAGCCAAGGGTGAGGTCAATAGAATAAATGTGTTGTCAGCACTAGGACTAAAAAACATATTTAGATTACTATCATTTAAGTCAAATATGACACTTTTGTTTGAAAATGACTTAAATGATTAATTGATTGTCAGAATAGCTGCAGATTATTTTGATGTCAATGGACTAATTGTAATTACTAATTCAGTAAATGAGTGCTTGTTGAAATAATAGGCTTGCTGTTGTGGATGTGAAGCTCTTTACTCTTTCTCTCTCTGAAACATGAAACATGAATAACTGGCATCTCAACAATGTGTAGAAGACAGATGATAGGGATCTTAATACTCTTGTCAACTGTAATGTAGTTTAACTGTCGGAGTGATTCAAACACCTGTTTGAGAGACAAACTGATGTACATTGGTGCGAAGAGGAGCTTTATGGTACCAGGCATCAGTACTCAGTTGACAGTTGACACTTTATATAAAGTTTTATTTTGTTCATTAATTTACTAACATTAAATTAGACTTAAAATGTGAAAACTCCAGTGCCTTGACCTGCCTAATACTTAATACGCCTTCATGCGCAGCCACAGGTAGAGCAACCAAGTAAACTTAAAGGTCAAGTGTTACCTTTCATGGGCAGAACAGCTTGTCTTTATGTAGTTTCTTGTAAGTAATATGGACTTTGTCTTAAGGTTTTTCAGCACATGGTGAGCAACACTTGTATCTCTCAAACTGGTTTGACTGCTTTTTCCGCTCTGTGTCATACAGATTAGAGCAAGATGAGAAATGACAGAAGAGAAGACTGTGGAAAAAAACAAGATCTGGGTTT